GTGCAATTAGTTTTTCTAGCTTGTAATAATAACAATGGTAATATATTTAGAATGGAAGGTGTGCTGAGATGGAAAGCAAGAAGTTAAAGAAAGGGAAAAACAAATACACAGACTGGAAGAGAAAAAACAGAACAGGAATCAGACAAAAGTTTCAAAGGTATAAACAGGGAGCTTTAGTGTACTAATCGACAGTAAGCTGAACAGACATTAGAGAGACAGAGAGAGGATTGAAAATCAAAAATAAAAAAAAAAGATAAGAATAAAATAAAAAATAAGTAAATGAAAGAAAAATCTATATATAAAAATTTATAAAAAAATGAAAAATAGAAAATTAAAAACCAAAAACAAAAAAACCTCCAAGTTCAAATGCAATGAAGTTTCAGTCTTAATTTTGGTGTCCTTCTCAGTCTCCAATCCTGGAGATGGTGCCTCAGATGTTCAGTAGTTGTCTCATCAAAGGGGATGCACTAAAAAGAACAAAACTACACACACACAAAAAAAACCCCACCAAGTGTCCCAAGTTCAAATGCAATACAGTTTCAGTAAGTTTTTCAGCATGCAGTGTTAATTCGGTTGTTCTCTCATCAAAGGTAGGGAGAAGAAAAAAAAAAGAGTCTGGAGACAGTTCTGAGAATGGTATCTGGTGTGGCTTGCCTGCCTGCTGCTGTCAGCCTGCTGTTGCTGGAGGCATTATTTATGCAGATCTCAGGGGTGAGCTTAGCACTCACCCCTGCAGGCTTTGTTTACTCAGTTCTCCTGTGCTGAGCCTCTGCTACAAGCTTCCCCTTTCCAAGCACACTGGGAAAGGTGACACTGCACCCGCTTTCTCAGGCCTGTGTTATTTACAGTTCAGGGAAGTGGGTCTTCCCCCCTCCCTGTGCAGTTTTCCTCCACTCCCACTTTTCACAAGCTTTCCTGCTCCTGATTACTGGGCGTGCTGCTGCTCTGCCAGCACCATGTTTGTTTTACAGCTCACATGGGAGTGGGTCTTCCCTCCTCTCCTGTGGAGTTTTCCTCCCTCCGCCACTCTCACAAGCTTTCTGCTCCTGGTTGCTGGGCGCACCCCCCGCTCCCCCAGAGCTCTCGGCCAGCTGCTGTTATTTACAGTTCCTGGGAAGGATTCCTTCCCCCAATCTTCACTCAGTGTGCCCCACCCTCTTCCACTGTCTATTCTCTTATTGCTATTACTCAGTTTCTCTTTTCCTGGAGGTTGGTTCTGTCCAGGGGGCTTGCTGCTCTGGCCCAGGCTTGTCTGTGGGAGTACCGCAGGTACCAAAGCTCACCTGGTCCGCGTCTTCCCAAGCCGTCTTGGCGCTGGTGGACGGCGGCCTTGGGGGCCCTTCCTGTTTTCTCCATTAAACGTGATGAAGTGGAGATTTCTCTGCTCCAGTTGGAGGTTGTGGGAGGGTTCAAAGTGTATTGCCCTTCTCAGTGATTTATGCCTGCAAAAGTGTGTCTGCAGCGTCTCTCCACAAGATTTCAGTAATAGGAGGCTCGGCTTTCTGCTTTCCTCCCTCTAGCCGCCATCTTGGAATCCTCCTGTTAGGCTTTTTAATTACGGTTTGTGCATTAGGCCAGCAGGACATTGTAAATATTTACTAAATAATTAAGGTTGAAATTTTAGCTTTTATTTTGATTTGTTAATTGTTTGAAAAAAAAGTTAATAGATGCAGTAATGGACTAAATGTGTATATTCATAGAGGGAGGCATTTTCTTTCAGAAGATGTTGGGAAACCATTAGGCCTAGGAATATCACAGTTGCTAATTTTTATCGAGTTTCTCAAAAAGCCTCTCTTGTTAGCTTTGTTACTGTGGATCTTCAATACTCCTGGGCAATGAAGGCACATAAAGATATCAGGCCAGGCTGCACACTGAAAGAGTGCAGAACCTCTAGAGGAGGACATGGGTCGCGTCCACAAGTGGTGGGAAATTCATGATTGATAACATAAAGACTAAGTTTTCTTAAAAGTCCTTCTTGACTTTGTAATAATAAAAAAGTGTCCTGGATAAAAAAGCAGAGATAAAATCTGTTCAGTTTTTGGTTTTAGCAGGCAGAAACAGCCTGGGAGAAATGATCAGGAAACAAGGACCTGGAGGGAGTGAGCATCCAAAGCAAGCCCAGCGTCTCAAGGCTGATGGGCAGGGAATAAGGGAGGAAGAAGAAACTGGGGTATGGGGAATCGTTGGGGAAGAGGTACAGTGCCTTTTCTCTGGACTGTTCTGAACTCCAGCTGCTTAATAAGCTAAAAAAACCTCTTGAGGTAAAAAGTTCAGACCAAAGCGGCCAGAGGTAAGCTGTTTTTCCAGTCTCCCTGGATGAAATAAAAAGAAGGGCCCTGATAAGTGTCAGAATTCATTTGGGCAGAATGCAGCCAAAATCATTCCCACGAGGGATAGCCAAATATACATTAGAGAGAGTTGTCCTTTAGAAGTTGAGATGGACTGCTGTACAGAAGAGATATTCCATTTTTTTTTAACCTCCATTAATTCTCATAGTTCAGCTATAATATCTTATCTTTGTTCTTCCTGTATGAAAATGTCTTTTTTTTCTGCTGACTTTTCAACATTTTCTATTTGTTCTTGTTTTTTTGCATTACACTACATGTTACCTTGTGTGTGGGGCCCCCTCTCCCCCCACTCCGCCTGTTTTGCATAAGTTACTTGCATATCTGGTTGTGTTGTTTTCTCCCATATCAAACATAGCCAAGGTTTGGAAAGTTATGAACTTATTTATTTATTTTTTGTTATTTTTGGGGGCTACTATTATCTATCTGTTAAACTATTAGTGAGTTTCTTTTATATTTTCAAAATCTTTTCTCTTTTAATAGTTGGTTAATTTTTTTATTGTTCTGTTTTAAAGGTGAGGATTACGTGCTTTGTTGAGTCTAAATCTGTTAAATTTCCATCCAAGAAATTGCTTTATTTTATATCTTTCAGTTTGTATTTCTTATTTTGGTTTTCACTTATATCTGACACTTTATAATGCAGTTCCCTTGTCATTACCTCTTTTATTTATCTTTATACTATATATTTAAAACATTGATAATCATGCTAAATTTCTTGTTTCTTTACAGTTTTTTTCCATATGATTATCAATTAGTTACTGGTGGTTGTTCTCATATACAATAATCATATTTATTTATATTCTTGGGATGCTTTGGATATTACTTGATTTGACTTTCAGTTTGTGTTAACTCTAGTGGGAGAAAGTTCGAAATTTTCTTCCTTGTGGTAGTTCAGTACCTGGCTGTTCATTCTCAAAGCCTAAGGGAAGCCTGGTGCTTTTCTTTTTTATGACGGTCATTTATTGATTTTGTTCCTTCATCTAGGTTTCTTGTCTAATTCTTAGGGATTTAGAATCTCTTTGGGGATCAGTAGAAGCCTTGGACATTTTGGGAAACCTTCTCCAAAACACATATGTACACTTTGGTTGACCTCAAACCTTCAAATTTACTCTTGCAGCCCGTGGACAACTCTAGAAATCTCTTCAGCCTTCCAGCAGTATGAAAGACCAAGGGGACTGTTCTGGGGAATCTCATGTGTACTCATTAAGGATCTGCCTAGGATTCGAGGTGGTCTTCTATTGAGGCAGTCCCACTTATACACATGTTTTAAATTTTCTCCCTTCTCTTTCTTGTTACTTAGGCAGGGACCCAAATACTAGTCTCTGACTTGCAGTCTAAGTAGCACTGTCTCTGTCCATGGTTAAATTGTGCTTCCTGCTTGGCTCCATTGTTCCAAGGGTTGTACCCATTCCACTTTTGATTGTTTTTTGACTGTTCTCAGTGCCCTCAAGCAATTTTTTTTCTTAAAATATGTGTTCCAGAGTTTCAATGATTATTGCAGAGGCTTATCTGTTACATCCTAACTCTCCATTTAGGCAGAACTAGAATGCTTTTCACTCTGGTTCTGAATTATTGCTGTTTAGGGTGAATGAAGCCTGTCACTTTGAAAGTTTCGTTCAGACTTCCCTGCAAAACCGTACGTTTTTTGACATTTCCTAGCCATTTGAAAGGGCTCTATGTGTCTTCAGTTTCCTCTTAAGTTCCTTCATAACCAAGTTTTAGTTTAAGCAAAATAGCTTTAGTGCTTGAGAGCAGGGAAAAAGGTTACATGAATAGGTGAAGTTTCCCACCTTCCAAAACACTGGTGGTGTTGAAATGTTCACTGATTCATTGTATTTGGTTTCTCAAAACTAGTATTTTTTTAATAATCCCTTATTTTAATACCATATTTACTTCTTCCAAAATGGTCTGTTAAACCTTGAGTAGTTCAGTGTAGTGTGTTGGTTTACATGAGCGGGTTGCTAGTGTTGTTTCCTTCCTGTGTACGAGGGGAAGGAGCAGGTTCCTATGGACAGTAACTGCATGGCCCAGTTCACAGCAGGGGACACCTTTGTCACTGCTCCATGGGTCCCTCTATTGCACTGTTTCCATCCAAACCTCAAGGTTTCTGTAAAGTTTTCCCCAGTGGACATTGATACTTGGCTAATTTGCTAGGTTGTCTGTGTGTGAAGTAATCAGGGAAGTATTTAACCACCAACCCTTTTCTCGGCATAAATTATGATGTTAAATTTATGATATTAATTTTGCGTTGTTTTCTGAATGTTTATTAATTCATTTTAAGATGCCACATTGCAGATTTGGAGTTTCTATATGTAGTTCATAGTCGATGTTGGTCAGTCCACATTTTTTTAAATGGTTGAAGTTTAGCTGACGCGCACTGTCACAGACTTTCCCAAATCTTCTCGTCTGCCCAGGTGCTGCTTTGGCTGTGTTGTCAGGTTTTGGCCTGTTGGAGGTCCACTCACCCTTCAAAAGCCCAGGTTTGAAACTGCAGCTCCAGTGAGGCCAACAACACCAGCTCCGTGCAGCACATTCGCCCTGCCAGGATGGAAGAAGCGTAACAGTCACAGTTCCAGACTCGCCCTATTGTGGTACAGCTCATGGAAAATGGGATTTTCCTAGAAGAACATAGGAGTTTGCTCTGAAATCACTCACTGTGGCTTCTGGAATGCGGCTAGTCTGCCGGTATTTGATTTCCTTGTTGATACTAGTTTGTTTATGGTTCCCATTCATGCTGTTGTCTTTCCTGATTGTTACGTGTGTTTGTCTCAGGTGTGGAGGCCTTGGTTGGGGTGGCTACTTGACCACTCTGATGTCCAGGTTACAGAATCTCTCGGATGGCAAAACCAGTGTCTATGAGTATTCAGATGAGAGGTGGTAGAGGATGTGGATTGATGCAGCCTACTCTTGTGGTTCAGTGACTTCCATGTCCTGTCTGTCCTTACCCTCTGAGTTTCTCATATTGTCAGTTGTCTTCTCTCTCTCTTGAATGAAACCATCATACCTCCTGTGGACTTTTCCATAAGACTTGCCTAGTTTTTTACTTAGACATGAAACAAAACTGTCTGTTTTGTTACTGAAGTAATTGATGTGCATTTTTTTCCATCATAATTACTTCTACCTTTTAAAACGGGACCATTCTTACAAACATCTAATGATGTTTGGTTAAACATTTAGAAGATATTTTATTTAAAAAAAAAAATCATGTTTTGAGCCAGGCATGGTTAAATGCATTGCTTATGTTCTCAGCAACTTCTGGAGGGTTGAAAACAGGGAGGTTTGCTTGGAGCCTGGGAGTTCAAGGCCAGCCTGGCAACTCTATGGGACCAGTTTCCTTAAAAGATATACAAACCATTAAAAAACAAACAGGTATTCATTTATGTGCACTGAAATCCCAATTACTTGGGAGGCCAGAGTAGGGAAGAATTGCAGTCTTAGGGCCCTACCCAAAAAACCAAAAACCCAAAGCAAAAAGGCCTGGAGGAGTAGCTCATTTTAAAGCCCCAAGCTCAAACCCTGGTTACTGCCTTCCGTATCCCCCATTCTTCCTAAAAAAACATACTAGCATTAGAGGTGCATGCCTTTGTAAATCTCAGCACTTTGAAGACTGAGGTGAAGATTCTGAGTTTGAGGACTAGCCTGCGCTACTAGCAAAAAACAAACTTTCTCAAAAATGATGTTTTGTACGACATGTTGATTTCTATCTAGTAAAGTGTTTCATAGGATTTGTTTTAAAAAGCCTTGAATTTTTTTTTACAGGCTTTCAAAGATATTTTTCCCTATTTGGCTATTGCTATTAAATTTTTTACATAAGATTTTATAAAAAGTATAGTTAAGTCATACTTTCTTTAAACAATTTTTACTACATTTTTATTTCTTGATTTTTGCAGTCTTCTTTCTTTTTTTTAAGTAAGTTTATCTAGTTTGTTTTTCTTTTTTTTATTGTGTTATATCTCTTGTTAGGCTACTGGTGCTTGTTGTTAACAGAGAGTCAGACTTTACAAAAACCGAGCGGATTTTCTGAGTTAATGATGATTAGCGGTATGTGAGAGAGAATATTCAGGTGAGTCATTTGTCTTAGCTGGAGCCTGGTTACTTTTTCCTTGGTAATACCTGAACACTCCCATATGCTGGTATCTGTATATTGCCCAGCATCAATGGACAGAGTCCCTGCCCCTCTTGCTGTGGAAGATAAGCAGGACTAACCCAATAAAAGCTCTGCTGTTTATAGAATGAGATGGGGTAGCATGGAAATGAGAAAAGAGATTAATGAAGGGGATTAGAGGAGGTTGACATTGTTGTGGGTGTGTTGTGAGTTAGTATTGGGAAGGTTCCTGTTGTTTATGAAAGATCTGCAGGGTATAAAGGGTGGCTTAATGGCTACCAGAGGAAGGCTGCAGCAACCCGTCAGGTGACCACTGTGGCTTGCCGCACAGGTGACCAGAGGCCAGAGGAGCAGAAAGTGGGCTGGGCAAAGGAGGGTAAAGAGAACTGCGAGAGCAAAGGGTGGCTTGTCCACAGAGGATATTGACTCAAAGATTGGCTTTCCTCTGTATCCTCATTAATGATATCTTTAATACATTTTGCTTATATCATTCTCATTGCTAGCTAGCTTTTTTGGGGCTATTATGTTTTATGTAGCCTTTATCCACCTTCAATCCTTTCTTGTTCTTGTTTTCTCTGCATTTCGATACATTTCAGAAAACCCCAAGGAGGTTCCTCATTTTATCTAAAAAGGTTTATCAGTATGGCATCCTCATGAAGGGTTTTTTATTTGAAACATAATGGAACATTGCTGTTATTGCAGCATTTCTATCCAAAATAAGTAGCAATTCCTTAATATCTTTTCATATCTTGTGCATTTGTCAGGTTTTCCCAGTTTTCTTAAAAAATGCTCTTTTATGGGTAGGTTTTTGAGTTTAGATACCAAGAAGATTATTACAAGAATTTAACTTTGAGTGGTGTGTCTCTGATGTCTCTTTAAACCTATAATAATTCCTCCGCTCTTTGGTTAGGCTTACCCAAACAATTACCATGGACTGTTATGGCTTAAACCATACTATTTATTTCTCATAGTCTGAAACTGTAAGTCCCAGAATAAAAGTTATTTGGATGGCTGGTTTTTCCCAAGGGTCTCTTTCTGGCTGGTTAAGGCAGCTGCCTTCTCACTGTTGTCTACAATAGAATGAGTGAGGGGGAAAAAGCAGGAGCCAGCAAGGGAGTTCTGTTGTGCTCTTCCTTATGAGAATAAGAACTTATCCTGTTGGGTAGGATTACCACCTTATAACCTTATTTAACTTACTTCCTTAGAGGCTCTGTCTCCTAATGTAGCTACATTGAAGGTTAGGGCTTCAACATGAATTTTGGGGAACACAAATTTTCAGTTACAACAGTATTATTATTCTTTCCCCTGCCTCTGTGAGTCATACATTTGTGCAAAACTATGTCCTTCTAAAGGAGTTGCATTCTTGATTTTGTGGTGCTCTTGTAGTATTGGCAATACCATTTTTTTATCCAGTAAAGTACCTGTGGGATTGGAGGGTGTAGACTCACCAGTTTTTAAAGAGCACTGATTTCATTTAGTATAAATGATACTTGGAGCACACTCTGGTGCTAAGCAAAATCTTCTTTCAAAATAGGGAACAAATGCTTCTATAATGGAACATTTCCTCTAGGACACTTTATGGACTTTTATGTTCTTACCTCTATTGGACTTTTAATTTCATTCTTAATTTTAGGTGGGATGATTTGGAGATGCTGGTCGAACAATATGAAGAAGTGGTGGAAGGCCGATGTGGCAAAGTCATCAAACTAGATCGAGATGGATTAATTGACCTCAGTACAGTGTGATGGGCAGAACAGAAGGGGGTAACTTACTGGGTCGGTTATATTCATGTTGAAACTTATAGGTTGAGCATTATTATTATTTAAGCTCTTTCTCTTTTCTTAGAGGTAGAGTTCCTAGAAGTGAATGCCTAATTATAGTCTTTTTTGCTGTTGAAAATCTGTAGGGCTATCCTCCACCAAAGTTCCTTCTCTTCACATCAAGATTTGGTGATAAGTACGGGTGAAAGCCTTTCTGTTACCACACCCAAAATTATAAATGGGGGATCTGTGACTCATAAGTGTTGGGAATGTGAAAGGTAATATTACTAAGAACAAATTCTAATTACCAACCTTTTCTTCAACTCAGTTTTTGTTTTTGTTTTTTCTTGTTTTCATTTAGGGGCAAAAAGAACAAGTATAAACAGAGCCTTATAGTGCCTCTCTGGCTTGTTCAGTTGCCTTCTAAGTCAGGCCGTTTAGAAGGCAAGGCATTGTAATTCTGAAAACTTGGTTACAAAGTATGCTCATATCAGTCAGGGAGAGATGTCTCCTAAGAGAGCGTGACCAATGGACAAAGTAGGCCATGTTGAGTTTTGGGGGAGGGTTGAGAAGCTAGGAAAGTTCTAAGATTCCAAGTATCTTAATAAATCTTACCTAGATAGCAGAAAGAATGGAGCCAAGCTGAAGTTGAATTAGTAATGAAGTAGTTGTTTCATATTAGCCAGGATTAGGGGAAACAATGGCTGTATTTTGTGGTTTGGATTAGGTTTGATCTTGATGATACGTGGCTATGGAGGAATTTTGTTTTTGCCTTGATCTGTTCCACCGAGTCCACAGTCTTACATGGAGTTCTATTCATGTATGTAGTCTGGTTGTACTGGTAGGTTCACCCAATGTGAATATGTTGGCCATTCCTAGCTATCCAGGGCGACTGCTTTGCATTTTAATGACGTATAAAATTTAAAAAACTGGATTTTAGAAGAAGCTTACTGTTTGAGGGGCAGATTTGATCTTCACAAAGGACAAAAGAAAGTTTTGCCCATTACTAATGGTTTTTTACTTTCCCTAACAAACTTAAGCACTAAATGCATTTGTTTGTATGTTTTTTGTTTTATTTATTTTGTACTGGAGTTGGAAACTCAGGACTTCATCGCTGCTAGGGATTCCCTTAGCGTTTTTTTTTTTTTCTTTAGCTACTTTTCAGATAGGGGTCTCATATTTTTCCATGGGCTGGCTTGGACTGCAATCTCAAAAATGACACCTCCAGCATAAGCTGGGGATTTCAGTGTGGCACCACCACATCTAGCTTATTTGTCGAGATATGGTTTGCTAATCTTTTTTGCCTAGGCTGTCCTTAGCCACAAATTCCTCCAAGTCGCTGGGATTATTAGGTTGTGACCACTGTGCCTGGGTCTGTAAAGTAAATTTACTTTGCATAATTAAAAAAACTAATTAAGGTGAAAAATTTAAACATATAAAATAAGAGAATATTTATAATGAACCTTCATTTAACCATAATTGCTTCAACCTGTGATCTTGATTATTTTAAAGCTAGGTTCCTAATGTCAATATGATGTTTCATACATTAAGTATCTTAGCATGTACTACTTAAAAGAAGTTTAACCACGTAAAACCATGAATAACTATAATATCATATGGCTAGGTGAGTTTTCATTTAAATTATAGGTTTATATGAGTGATAAAGGATTTTCTCAGCAAGGGGAGCGGAAACAACCCAAACAATATATGCACTTATGAATGAATGAATAAAAAAATAAAATAAAAAAAAAGATGTCTCAGGACTGTTTCTATTCTGTTCCTAGCTTTCAGTTGCCAAATTGGGAAAGAATATCATGTAGACTTTCCCTCAGCAATCTCACTGGACCGGGTTATTTGTCAGAAATGGA